CCTGGAGCGGAGCGGAAAATCCAGGAGCGCTGGCGACTTGGCTGTGATTGGCTAGGCCGGGCCTTAACTACTTTCTTATTTTCTTTCTTTCTTTACTTTTTTTTTTTTTTTGAGACGGGTCTCACTTTGTTGCCCAGGAGGTGATCCGCCCGCCTCGGTCTTCCAAAGTGCTGGGGTTACAGGCGTGAGCCACTGCGCCAGGCCTGCACTTTGTTTTAGAGGAAGATTCTTAACTTAGGATCCACCTCCACCTCGTGCCTCATTGCCGGAGGTCCCTTCTGTCTAAAGCCCTCCCCCTTTATTTCAGCTCTTCAACCTTTCAGAGAAAAGGCATGACCTGACCCGCTTAAACCCCAAGGTATGAAGGAAATGGCCTGCCCAGTCATTAAACCAAGCCACCCCTACCCCAGAAGCCCCCAGCTTCCTCATTATTAATAGTAGCAATTGGCATCTACTTCACTCTTAAGCACCTTCCCCCTCTTGCATGACATATTACTGGAGACACCCCAAAACGTGATGCAGCAGGTATCAGCCCATTGTATAGATAAGTAAAGTGCTGAGGTTATCATGGACAACCAGCAGATTCCCAACCTTGCCCCCAGACCCGTATGCCCTGTCCCCTTTCCACACCGCCTGTGTCTCTCTGTTGGTGGGCCCCAGTCCCAGTTGTACCCCTGCACTCTCCCCAGGTTCAAGACTTCGGCTGGCCTGAGCTGCATGCTCCACCCCTGGACAAGCTGTGCTCCATCTGCAAAGCCATGGAGACATGGCTCAGTGCTGACCCACAGCACGTGGTCGTACTATACTGCAAGGTGGGCCAGGACCTCGGGTTCCCTGGTGCCTGGAGGCTCCAGGTCAGCCTGGAGCCCCCAGACCCTCATCCCTGTCTCTGTCTCTCAGGGAAGCAAGGGCAAGCTCGGGGTCATCGTTTCTGCCTACATGCACTACAGCAAGATCTCTGCAGGGTGAGGCTCCCAGCACCGGAGTAGCCCCTTCCCCAGTGGCCCTTTCTCCAGCTGGCCCCTTAGGAACCATCTCCCCTGGAGCCCACCTCTTCATTGAGAGTCCTTTGCTGTCAAGTTAGCATTTCCACCTCCCTTTTATCACTAGTACAGCAACACAGTCTGCAGCAGATGGTCTGTAAAGTTTCCTAGGGCAGCCACAAACAGGGTGGTGTAAAACAGTAGAAATGGGCCAGGTGCCATGGCTCACACCTGTAATCCTAGCACTTTGGAAGGCCGAGGTGGGCGGATCACCTGAGGTCAGGAGTTTGAGACCAGCCTGGCCAACATGATGAAACCCTGTCTCTACTAAAAATATAAAAAGTAGCCGGGCGTGGTGGTGGGTGCCCGTAATCCCAGCTACTCAGGAGGCTGAGGCAGGAGAATCGTTTGAACGCGGGAGGCGGAGGTTGCAGTGAGACCACATGGTGCCACTGGACTCCAACCTGGGCAACAGCGAGACTCCATCTCAAAAAAACAAAACAAAACAAAACAAAAACCGTTGGAAATACACTGTCTCACAGTTCTGGAGGCCAGAAGCCCCAAATCAGGCTGTCGGCAGGCCCTTGCTTCCTCTGAGACTCGAGATGGAATCCTTCCTTGTCTCATTCTACCTTCTGGTGGTGGCCAGCAAGCCTTGGCGTTCCTCGGTTTGCAAACACATCACTGTAATCTCTGCCTCTGTCATCACATGGTGTTCTCCCTGTGCATCTCTGTCTGTGTCTCTTCTTCTCTTCTTATAAGGACACCAATCATATTGGATTCAGGGTCCACCCTCCTTCAGTATGAGCTCATCTTAACTAATTATGTCTGCAATGGCCCTATTTCCAAATAAGGTCACATTCTGAGGTACATGTCTTTCGGGGGGATATAATTCAACTCGTGAGATGGTTTTGTTGCCCCATTTTACAGATGAAAAAACTAAAGTTCAGGGAATAATTGCCTGGGGCCCAAAAACTAGTAAAGTGACTGTACATGGTGCTTCTCATTCTCATTACCACCACTCTGGGCTTCCTCTAGACTCAGGGGATCATATCTCTCCTCCCTCCCCTGGGGCTCAGGGATGGGAGGCCAGGATGAAGACTAGTCCCTAATCCTCAACACTGGCCTTGCTGTCCCCAGGGCTGACCAGGCACTGGCTACTCTTACCATGCGGAAATTCTGCGAGGACAAGGTGGCCACAGAACTGCAGCCCTCCCAGCGTCGGTGAGCAGCCTGGGTGGGGATGGGCCAGAGGAGCAGCTCCCTTCATGGCTACCAAGGCCAAGACTCTCGTATCCATGCAGCACACCTTCACTGAGTGTGCCAGGGGCTGTGCCAGGTGCTGAGAATTCAAAGTGGACAAAGCCCCTGCTCTCATGGAGCTTTCTCGCTAGTAGGATGGAAGGCAGTAGACCTGGGAATAAATAGACGAGGAGGTCCATCATAAAGAGAACCTTAAGGACAGTCGGGGCCTGCCACTATAAAGTGAAGCAGAGCTCTGGGGAAAGAGCTTTGAGGCAGAGGGGAGCAAGAAGGATTGAGATTAGATGCAAGGAAGAACTTTCTGGTGACCTGGTAGATGGGAAGGAAGTGCTGAGGAGAAGAGCCAGCTTTCTAAGGGTGGATGGTTGAAATGATACAAGGTGACCTCCAGAGGAAAAGGCTTATGTTCTCCTCGACACGCCCTCTGCCAGATACATCAGCTACTTCAGTGGGCTGCTGTCCGGCTCCATCAGAATGAACAGCAGCCCTCTCTTCCTGCACTATGTGCTCATCCCCACGCTGCCAGCCTTTGAACCCGGCACAGGTGAGTCTGCCTGAGATGTGCTCCCTAGGGAGAGCCACCTTCAGGCCCCTCCACTCAGCACCCCTCCGCGCCTTCTCCTCTGCCCCTCCAGGCTTCCAGCCCTTCCTTAAAATCTACCAGTCCATGCAGCTCGTCTACACGTCTGGAGTCTAGTGAGTGCTCTATTCCCAGGCCCCTGACACTTCATGGCCAGGGCCCCGCTTGCTCCCTGCATTCCTGCTTCTCCAGCCTCCCCAGACACCTGGGCAGGGCTCAGACTCTGGTCTCCTGGCTCCCCCTGACTGCATAGCTTCCTCTGCACGCAGGAGCCTCTGGTTCATCTCTGCCTTCTCCTCTCTCCCCACAGTCACATTGCAGGCCCTGGTCCCCAGCAGCTTTGCATCAGCCTGGAGCCAGCCCTCCTCCTCAAAGGCGATGTCATGGTGAGGGGGTCCTGGCAACAAGGAGAATCCCGGAGATGGGGCAGGGGTTGGTGGTGTAGCCACACAGTCACCAATTTGAGACAGATTGGAGGGCGAGTAGGGAGATCACCTTGAGATCGAGGCAGGGCAGAAGCTGTGACTAGGCAGTCCCCAGGGTGGAAGCACAGAAGAGGACTTGAGGCCTGACTCCCAGCCTCCTGCCTTTCCCCCAGGTAACATGCTATCACAAGGGTGGCCGGGGCACAGACCGGACCCTGGTGTTCCGAGTCCAGTTTCACACCTGCACCATCCACGGACCACAGCTTACTTTCCCTAAGGACCAGCTGGACGAGGCCTGGACTGGTGAGTCTGAGACAAGTGGCCTGGGGCTGGAGCCCAGGTGGCAGGCAGGCAGGTGGCAGGCAGGCAGGAGAGTGTGGTATGGGCCAGGGGCCTGGCTCTTCACTGTCCACTCCCCATAGATGAGAGGTTCCCCTTTCAAGCCTCCGTGGAGTTTGTCTTCTCCTCCAGCCCCGAGAAGATCAAAGGTAAGAGCAGGGACATGGGCTGGGGACTGACAGCTGCCTCTACCCTGCTCCCCAACACCCGAGTGGCCTTCCACAGGCAGCACTCCACGGAATGACCCCTCGGTCTCTGTCGACTACAACACCGCTGAGCCGGCTGTGCGCTGGGACTCCTATGAGAACTTCAACCAGCACCACGAGGACAGTGTGGATGGTGCGCAGGGCAGCCTGCAGGGTGGGAGGTACAGGGTTGTGGCAGGGCCCTGGAGGGGCCGTGGCCAGGGAGAAGAACACTCCCTCCTCCCCAGGCAGAGCCCACTCTGGAGAGACACCCCCGGCCCGATGGCTATCTCCAGTGCCATCCCCTCTCATGAACTCTCTCTCTCCCTCCCTATTCCCTGCTTGCCCTCCCTCCCTGATCCTCTTCCCCACTCAGGCTCCCTGACCCACACCCGGGGTCCCCTGGATGGCAGTCCTTATGCCCAGGTGCAGCGGCCCCCCCGGCAGACCCCCCCGGCACCCTCTCCAGAGCCTCCACCACCCCCCATGCTCTCTGTCAGCAGCGACTCGGGCCATTCCTCCACGCTGACCACAGAGCCGGCTGCTGAGTCCCCTGGCCGGCCGCCCCCTACGGCTGCTGAACGGCAGGAGTTGGATCGCCTCCTAGGAGGCTGTGGAGTGGCCAGTGGGGGCCGGGGGGCTGGGCGAGAGACGGCCATCCTAGATGACGAAGAGCAGCCCACTGTGGGCGGAGGCCCCCACCTCGGAGTGTATCCAGGCCACAGGCCTGGCCTCAGCCGCCACTGCTCCTGCCGCCAGGGCTACCGGGAGTCCTGCGGGGTCCCCAATGGGGGTTACTACCGGCCAGAGGGAACCCTGGAGAGGAGGCGACTGGCCTATGGGGGCTATGAGGGATCCCCCCAGGGCTACGCTGAGGCCTCGATGGAGAAGAGGCGCCTCTGCCGATCGCTGTCAGAGGGGCCATACCCCTGCCCACCTGAGATGGGGAAACCAGCCACTGGGGACTTTGGCTACCGCGCCCCAGGCTACCGGGAGGTGGTCATCCTGGAGGACCCTGGGCTGCCTGCCCTATACCCATGCCCAGCCTGCGAGGAGAAGCTGGCGCTGCCTACAGCAGCCTTGTATGGACTGCGGCTGGAGAGGGAGGCTGGAGAAGGGTGGGCAACTGAGGCTGGCAAGCCTCTCCTGCACTCAGTGCGGCCTGGGCACCCGCTGCCTCTGCTCTTGCCTGCCTGTGGGCATCACCATGCCCCGATGCCTGACTACAGCTGCCTGAAGTCACCCAAGGCAGGCGAGGAAGGGCACGAGGGCTGCTCCTACACTATGTGCCCCGAAGGCAGGTATGGGCATCCAGGGTACCCTGCCCTGGTGACATACAGCTATGGAGGAGCAGTTCCCAGTTACTGCCCAGCATATGGCCGCGTGCCTCATAGCTGTGGCTCTCCAGGAGAGGGCAGAGGGTATCCCAGCCCTGGTGTCCACTCCCCACGGGCTGGCTCCATTTCCCCGGGCAGCCCGCCCTATCCACAATCTAGGAAGCTGAGCTACGAGATCCCTACGGAGGAGGGAGGGAACAGGTACCCATTGCCTGGGCACCTGGCCTCAGCAGGACCCTTGGCATCTGCAGGTGAGGGGCACCAGAGTGCGGAATGCCCAGGGCAGAGGAGGTTCTGGAAGATGGTGGGAAACTCAAGGGGGAACAGGGTGAGAAACAGCTAAGCCAGACAGAAGAGCCCCATCCTGCTCACAGCCCACCTCTCCACTGCAGAGTCGCTGGAGCCGGTGTCCTGGAGGGAGGGCCCCAGTGGGCACAGCACACTGCCTCGGTCTCCCCGAGATGCCCCAGGCAGTGCTTCGTCAGAGTTGTCTGGTCCCTCCACGCCCCTGCATACCAGCAGCCCAGTCCAGGGCAAGGAAAGGTATGCAGAGGGGCCGGGGACACTTGAGTGCTTTCTTGTCCAAGCAGTTGATGAAGGCAGGTGGGGTGGGAGCAGCCACAGTGGGGGCTCTGCTGACCATCTGCCCTTCCACCCTACAGCACCCGGCGACAGGACACCAGGTCCCCCACCTCAGCGCCCACTCAGAGACTGAGTCCTGGCGAGGCCTTGCCCCCTGTTTCCCAGGCAGGCACCGGAAAGGCCCCTGAGCTGCCTTCGGGAAGTGGGCCTGAGCCTCCGGCCCCTAGCCCCGTCTCTCCGACCTTTCCTCCCAGCTCGCCCAGTGACTGGCCTCAGGAAAGGAGTCCAGGGGGCCTCTCAGACGGCGCCAGTCCTCGGAGCCCTGTGCCTACCACACTTCCTGGCCTCCGCCACGCCCCCTGGCAAGGCCCTCGAGGCCCCCCAGACAGCCCAGATGGGTCTCCCCTCACTCCTGTGCCTTCCCAGATGCCCTGGCTTGTAGCCAGCCCAGAGCCGCCTCAGAGCTCACCCACACCTGCTTTCCCCCTGGCTGCCTCCTATGACACCAATGGCCTTACCCAGCCCCCACTTCCTGAGAAACGCCACCTGCCCGGGCCGGGGCAACAGCCAGGACCCTGGGGCCCAGAGCGGGCATCATCGCCAGCCAGAGGCATCAGTCACCATGTCACCTTCGCACCTCTGCTCTCGGATAATGTCCCCCAACCCCCAGGTATAAAGGCCTTGAGGGGGTTGGGGCCACCTTGAAAGAACCCTTTTTCCTGGGATATAGCATGGATGGGGACCCGGGTACCCTGCGGTCTGAACCTACTCCCTCCCTGTCCTAGAGCCTCCTACACAAGAGAGCCAAAGCAATGTCAAGTTTGTCCAGGATACATCCAAGTTCTGGTACAAGCCACACCTGTCCCGTGACCAAGGTGAGAAGCCAGCCTGCCCCCACCCCACTCCATCCCACCCTCCCAGGTGTCTGTCTTGGTTTTAAGTCCCATCCTGTTGAAGCTCTTGGCTCCTCCTGTCTCAGCTGTATTTACTCTTGGCTGAGCGTTTGCCAGCAGGTGATTCTGGGCTTTGGGCCAAGGCGGTGAGATCCAACATGGTCAAAGCCCCTGTGAATCCTAGAGCCCTGTCCTCAGACTCCTACCACCACCACAGCTGCCAGGCCAAAAGAGACCCATGGAGCTTGTCGGCGGAGGAGGGGGGTTGCATGGGGCTCAGTCCACCCCTGTGAAAACTTCTCCTCCCCGCTGCCCGCTACCCCTCACCCTGCAGCCATTGCCCTGCTGAAGGACAAGGACCCTGGGGCCTTCCTGATCAGGGACAGTCATTCATTCCAAGGAGCTTATGGGCTGGCCCTCAAGGTGGCCACACCGCCACCCAGTGCCCAGCCCTGGAAAGGTACAGAACGCCCAAACCTGAGTGGGGTGGGATGAAGTTGGGGGGTGGTGCCAGAGGCAAGGTAACAGGGCGGGTGGGGGTGATGTGCTGGCCATGCCGCTGTGGAGGGGAAAGGCAGGAAAAGACCTCAGCTACTTGGGAAAGAATCCCATTAGGGAAGAAGCTGGAACCTGGAATCCTAAAGCCACAATCTTCCCCTCTCTTCCTCTCAGGGGATCCCTTGGAACAGCTGGTCCGCCATTTCCTCATTGAGACTGGGCCCAAAGGGGTGAAGATCAAGGGCTGCCCCAGTGAGCCCTACTTTGGTGAGAAGCAGGAGCTTGGGGAAGGCTACGTTGGGTCGGTTTAGGGAGACGCCAAGGGATCTCAGGAGGGTGGAAGGGAAAGGCAGAGCACCCTGGGCACCTCAGGACTTTCCCACCTCCTCGTCCACAGGCAGCCTGTCCGCCTTGGTCTCCCAGCACTCCATCTCCCCCATCTCCCTGCCCTGCTGTCTGCACATTCCCAGCAAAGGTGGGTGTCTGGTCATCTGTCCTCCCCACCTCTCCCCTCCCCCTGCAGCCAAAGCAGGATCCAGAGGTCTTAGCTCCCCGCCTTCCCTTGGGGAGGCAGAGGGAGTGCTCCAGCTTGGGGAACGCTCTGCCTTCTGAGCTGCTTTGTCGGTTCTCATTGCCCTCAGATCCTCTGGAAGAGACCCCAGAGGCTCCAGTGCCCACCAACATGAGCACAGCAGCAGACCTCCTGCGTCAGGGTGCTGGTAGAGACTTCCCCTCCGCTCCCCTCCCTCTCCCTGGGCACCAAGGGGGCATTGTGGATACAGGGCATGGGGCACTGAAAGGCCTTGAGGTGGGTGAGCCCTGGCCAACCCATGAGGGCAGGGGAGCCCCATCCTGTTGGGGATGAGGAATTGGGTCCTCAGCCTAGGGTCTCAAAGTCTCATGAACAAGAAAGAGGATCATGGGGTGGTAGCAGGGAGAAACTTGTTAGAATGTAGATTCTCAGGCTTTTCTGCCTCGCTTCTGACTGTAGTTCCGGTAAAGTCGTGGAATCTGCCTTTTTAACAAGTCACCTATGTGATTGTAAAGCATGTGACAGCAGTAGCTGGGGAGTGTGCAAGAGCTGGTGGGGGTGGCTAGAGGATGGGCACTCCCTCTGTGACCCACTCCCTGCCCCCATAGCCTGCAGCGTGCTCTACTTGACCTCAGTGGAGACAGAGTCACTGACAGGCCCCCAAGCCGTGGCCCGGGCCAGCTCTGCAGCTCTGAGCTGCAGCCCCCGCCCAACACCAGCAGTTGTCCACTTCAAGGTGTCCGCCCAGGGCATTACACTGACGGACAACCAAAGGAAGTATGTGTACTCAGCCCTGTGAAACCCCATGCTTAAGGCCCCTAGGGGTCCCCGTTTTTGAGTGTGACTTTCCCCACCCTCCTCCTTGCAGGCTATTCTTTCGCCGCCATTATCCAGTGAACAGCATCACCTTCTCCAGCACTGACCCTCAAGACCGGAGGTGACCCTCCCTCCAAACCCTTTGCCTCAAACCCCCATGGTCCCACCAGGTCCCAGTCCCAGCCCCAGCTCCCAGCCCCAGCCCCAGCTCCCACCCCAGCCCCAGCCCCAGCCCCAGCCCCAGTCCCAGCCCCGTCTCCAGCCCCAGCCCCAGCCCCAGCTCCCAACCCAAGCCCCAGCTCCCAGCCCCAGCCCCAGCTCCCCTTCAGCAGCTGTCCCCTGGAAGTGTGCATCTTCACACTTCTTCTCCTTCTGCAGATGGACCAACCCAGACGGGACCACCTCCAAGTAAGCCCCGCGAATTCAGCCTCTTCCCTCCAAGGGACCAGGGTGCTGCCGTCCTCTCGACGCTGGCATTTGATTCATCTCACCAAAGCCAGCTACACTTCCTTGTGGAAGGAATGCTAAGCCCCCTCCCCACCCTTTGTCCCCCTAGGATCTTTGGTTTCGTGGCCAAGAAGCCGGGAAGCCCCTGGGAGAATGTGTGTCACCTCTTTGCAGAGCTTGACCCAGATCAGCCTGCTGGCGCCATTGTCACCTTCATCACCAAAGTTCTACTGGGCCAGAGAAAATGAAGGAAGGCCACAAGCTGAGAGCCCACATCAACACTGCACCCCTCCCAGCACCCCACAGCCCTCACTTCCCCTGGCCTGGACCCAGGAGACCCAAGAGAAAGCACCCCCCCTTAGGAATGAGGAGTGGGCATCAGGCCTGGGACACTGCTCTCCTTCCCCACCCCCAGCTGGCTAAGTTAAGTGGATGGGCCCATGAGATGACCTTGCATGTGAGCAGATGGCAGAGATGGGTGTGTGAGGGGTGAGGAGGCATCAGCAGTTGAGCCCCAAAGGAGATCAGGCAGCCCCACCTGCAGGAGAACGTCAGCCCTCCAGGGGATCAGCCCCTGCCAGTTCCACCCAGCTGCAGGTCCCAGCATGGCAGGGATGGGAGAGGGGTGGGGAGCAAGTCACTGCCTCCTCTGAGCAGAGATTCAGAGTAGGATCACATGAATAGGGGAAAAAAAGAGAGTCTATTTTTGTCTAATAATAAAGAAATAAAGAATTTCTATAAACTTTAGCCAAAGTTGGAGTCAACCCTTACTCACAGGAGGGTCAAAGCCTCATCTCCCAGGGGACGTATCTGTGCTTCCTGGGGGTATCCCAGGGCCCAGGCCTACAGCCAGGCCCATAGAACATATGATTCCCATCCCTGGCCCAACGCTGGTCTAGATCACCCCACGAGCAAGCTGCCCTCGGCTGCCCCCGTCCGGCAGTCCTGTTCCTAGCCCTGTGGACTGGAAAGGCTCCTGGTTCCGGCCATACTGATAAATACGGAAACTCCATCTTTATTGGCTGTATAAACATCTCTGGTCTGTACATACATTTCATACATCATAGGGCAGGAAGCGAGGGCCAAAGGGAGGCCCAGCAGCACAACAGCTCACCCGCTTTCCCCACAGCCCTACCCGCTCTGTGCAAACCAAGACCAACAGCTCCTGCTCCCTCTTCCTCCATGGAGAAGTCACTGTTATGGGGAGGGGGTCAGGGGTTGAGGGATTAGGAGATAGAGGGCTCGGTGGGGACGACTAGTAAGTGCTAGAATCAAACACTGAAGCGAAACAGGCAACTGGCACAAGCAGCAAGCTGAGGCATGGGACGGGGCAGGAAAAGGGGAGGGAGAGGCCACGCTGCCCCTCTGGGCTTGCTTGGCTGAGGCTCTGGGGTGTTGTCCTCACGCTGACAGGGAGACAGGCCCCAGAGCCTCAGCCCCAGTACCTGGGAGTTAGGGACATGGGTGGCACTGGCAAAGAAAGGATGGAAGGGGAAAAGGAGCGAAGGTCCTAGTGCCCTGTCACCTCACAGCCCCTCTCTCTTAAACATGCAACAGGCACCCACCTATGTGGGTCCAGGTATGGGGAGCCAGAGATGCAGATTCTCTGTGGTGCCTAAGGAGGCTGGGGTGGGGAGCCAGCTCTCAAGGGAAAGAATGGAGAGCCTAGAGGAGTCTTCTGGGGCAGCAGCTAGTGAAAGGACAGAGATGACCAAAGAGAGGTCCCCTGGCCCTGCCAGGGGTATGACAGCAGCAACTGGTTCACACAACCAGGAAAGAAAACAAGAAAGAGGAATTCAAGGAGAAATACCATGGTGAGTAGGGGAGGGGGCTGTCTACTCCACCCTCTACAAAGCATCATGCCTAAATAGCAGCTGAGATAGGGTGCTCACACTTCTCCACCCACATGGGGCCAGTGAAGGAAAGGGGGATCCAGAAGCCCACTGACTGAAGCGAGTGGGACCACCCACATACCAACACCATTCTTTGGGTCCATTCCTGTCCAACCAGGGACTCAGGCCCAGGGACTGACAACAGTGGCAGCACCAGGTCAGAAACGTGGGCACAGAGAAGCGTGACGGGCCTGAGCCAGTGGGGGCAGAGTGACTACACACCTCCAGGGGCCTGCTGGGTAAATGAATCCTCTGGGAAGTCAGGAACTGGGTGCCTGGCCCAGCAGAGGGTGGGCAGGGAGAAGAAGCAGGTCTGGAGGGGAGGCCCTAGCCACTCAAGGGGTGCAGATCTACTTTGACTTTCTCCCCGCAGCTCAGCATTCCAATGGTAGGGAAGAAGCCTCCAGAAGGAACAACAGCATCCTTTTTCCCAATGATCTTGCCATTCCGAGTGAAGAAAACCTGGGGAGGAGGTGGGGAGAGGAATGGAGCAAGCAGGCTGTGGCCTCTTCCCTGAGGATGCTGGAGCTCCACAGGCCTGAACCCCAATCACCCCAACTTGCAGCGGGGCTGGAGAGGGACAGTTAAGGTGATATGGGAAGTGACCACCAGAGGGCATGCTGAGGCTGGAAAGCAGCCTCCCAAGACCGTCTCCCCATCTCAGCAGCCCCTGGAGCTTGGAACAGCCCTTGGGCAGTGCCAGAGCTTCCCGTCTTTCCCACCCTGGTTGTGAGTTCTACTCCCCACTAATACCCACCCTTTGCCCAGACCCAAGAACCCTGGTCCCACCCCAAACTCTCCCTACTCACCACCACCTTCCTGCCCTCATGCTCCGGCTCTATCTCTTCCCCATCCTCTTCCTCTTCCTCTTCCTCCTCTTCCTCTTCCCCTTCCTGGTGCAGGTACATGACATTCCGCACGTTCCGGACGGCCCGGGCAGTCGGAGACAGGATCACTGTGTCACAACTGTCATCACTGTCCCCTGGGGGACCAGGAAACCTGAGCTCCTGTGGTGCCTTTCCACCCTCAGCCCCAAGCAGCCTGGTTGGCCACCCCCACCCCACTTACCCTCACTGTCCAAAATGTAGTCCCGGGGGAACATGATTCCACAGCCCATGATGTCCCCTTTGTAACAGCGTGGCCCAAAGGGGTCCCCCACACCGCTGCCATGGAAGATCTTCCCATCATCTGTTGGAGGGAGGGGAGAGGACACACACTTGAGGAAGGAGAGCTGACAACACACCCCCAGAGCGGCCCCATGAAGCTGAACACTTCCCATCCCTCACAGGAAGGGAAGCGTCAGGGCGGAAACAAAGATGGAGAGAAAGGCCGGGCGCAGTGGCTCACGCCTGGAATCCCAGGACTTTGGGAGGCCGAGGCGGGTGGATCACCTCAAGTCGGGAATTTGAGACCAGTATGGCCAGCATGACGAAATATCTCTACTAAAAATACAAAAATTAGCCAGGCGTGGTGGCACTCGTCTGTAATCCCACCTACTTGGGAGGCTGAGGTGGGAGCATCACTTGAGCCTGGGAGGCAGAGGTTGCAGTGAGCCAAGATCGTGCCACTGCACTCCAGTCTAGGCAACAGAGTGAGACTCCGTCTCAAAAAAAAAAAGAAAAAAGAAAAAGATGGAGAGAGAGATGTGGGAAGGGGGCACCAAAAAACTAAAGAGATGTAGTATCAGCCAGGTGCAGTGGCTCACGCCTGTAATCCCAGCACTTTGGGAGGCCGAGGCGGGCGGATTACAAGGTCAGGAGATCGAGACCATCCTGGCTGAAACAGTGAAACTCCGTCTCTACTAAAAATACGAAAAATTAGCTGGGCCTGGTGGCGGGTGCCTGTAGTCCCAGCTAGTCAGGAGGCTGAGGCAGGAGAATGGCGTGAACCCGGGAGGCAGAGCTTGTAGTGAGCCAAGATCGCGCCACTGCACTCCAGCCTGGGCGAGAGTGCGAGACTCCGTCTCAAAAAAAAAAAAAAAAAAAAAGAGAGACGTAGTATCCATCTGCTCAAGGGGGTAAGGGGGAAACCCTTAGGAAAGGAGTCAGAGGAGGGGGCCCTAGGAAAGGAATGAACACCCAGGGAGGGCAGGCAAGGGGAGGTGAATCGGGGAACTCTGGGCTCAGTTTTCTTCTAAAGAAAGCCCTAAAGTCCTAAAGGAAACTAAGCAGCAAAAAATAAAAATAAATCAAGAAAATGAGGATCTGCAGGAAGGACACAGAGGGGACCAGCTCAGAGGCCTGGAATGTCCCATCTGGGCCCAGATCTCCCTCTCCTGTCCTGCTCCCCCGGTTTCCAGAGCTGGGAGGAAAACACAGATGGGAGGAAGCACTAGCGATTTGGGAAGGGGAGGTCAGCCAGCAGCAGGGCAAAGAGCGAGGCCATTTGCGAGGGGCCATGAGAGGGGAAAGTGGATATCCCTATGCCTCCACATCTCCCACCATCCCACCTTTCCCAGGCAGCCCACTGTTCACCTGCATGATAAGCCACAGACCCTCTGCTCCAGCCAGGGTGCCTGTTCTTGGGATAGTCCTGCATCCAGAAGAAAAAAGAAAATCTATGGTCCCACGTATAAACAAGAAGACAGGAGAGAGTGGCGAGTGGCATCTGAACCTCTGGAACAGGCCATGACCCAGACAGTGCCAACCCCGCACACTCTCATACCCTGCAGGCACTGGGGCTTCAGGGGAACCAGGGAGGGTGAGGAAAGTGTTAGTTAAGCTTTTAAGGCCAGAGCCATGGCATGTCCCACCCCCACCTCCCAGGCCTTAGTGTGTGGTGCAGTCACGACCTGTCTCAGGTCCTTGGTCACATGGGGTGTGTACTCTTACACAGCTGACACATACAACTGTGTTCCATCTCAGCTAACACCCTCCCTCCAAAGTCTGGGCTCCCCTGGTTTCTTCTAAGAGCTTCCTGGCACTGCCCCAACAGCCCCAGACCTGAGCAGCTCCATGGGCAAAAAAGCTCAGCCCTTGTGCCCACCTTCCGTGCCAGCCCCAGGGCAATGTAGCATTTCTCTCCAGGGTCCACGATCTCCACCTCGAAGTAGTGGCTGCGGGTGCTGAGTGGGTGCCGGGCCTGGGCCAGCCCCACATCCACGATGCTTTTGCCCTTCCCTAAGTACTCCAGCAGCTGTGGGGGAAAAGCCAGACGGGGGTCAGGGGACAGGCTGACACCCACCCTGGAAACCTGGGCCCAAGACAGTCTGGGTCCCACTTTCCCAGGTTTGACAAAAACTTCTGGCTAAAAGGGAAAGAATCCTAGAGATACAATGTGGCTCCAAAGTTCTAGGCCAGCATGGAAGAGCAGGATGGGGTGGGAGGCAAAGGGGAGAGCATGAGCAGGGGGAGCCCCTTGCTGAATGCCCACCTCCCCACGACGCTTTCTGGGAGGCCGGGGAAAGCGGCACAGCTAGGGGAGTGGCACACCAGGGGGCTCTAGATAACATCCTCATCCCGGTGAAGAACCCTGCAGCCTTTCCTGCTGGGAAAGGTCCACCCAGGGTCCCGAACACAGGGGAAAGGAGAAGCAAGACTAGGCTGAGAGGAAACTTGATGACTTTCTCAGCAGGCCTAATGAGGACAGGGAGGATGCCGAAGTTAGGTGCCAACCCCAGATACTCAGAGGAAGGGGGTGAGTGCAGAAGCCAATTCTGCCTGGGATGGGCCTGACATAATTTCTCAAGGTCCTTGTTTTACTTGGCTGTGAACACAGCTGTTCTTAGCTGGGTCAGGGAGGTGCTGAGGGGAGCCCAGGGACCCAGAATGCCCAGCTCTACTCCCTCATTTCATGTGAGGGAGGGGAGAGGTCAAAATGAAGACAGAGGCAGGCTTAGCTGTTCCCAGCCCCTCATTG